CCATGCCCAATTGAGAACATGAGGTGAAGAAAGATACCTGCCCAGAAGTACCCAAGTACTCCAGATCCAGTCTGCCAACGCACCGGGAGGCCCGTTCCCAATCTCGGGGGGGTCGGAGAAGGCACGGAGGGGAGGGGGAGGTTTCTGGTCTGGGCCCAGGGCCGATGGCCGGTGACCGTTTTGTTCCAAGGGGAGCCTCCACAAGTACCGGTATGTGTTATTGCAAAGTACTTCTGGCACTTGCGTAGACACGCTGTACAATGAGGTACCTCAGATAGGTAGTTAGACTTAACTTTTAGGTCTGGCTCTTGAGGCAAAGGGGAAAGTGTCGGGTGCCTTAGCGGCTACTCCCCGGTTGGAGGCGCGGCGGTTCCATGGCGGATACCCTGAGAAAAGATACGTATTTCTCTCATAATCATTCGTGTCAGTCTGCCATTGCGTATCCGTCCAGTCATAGAGCCGTTGCAACTTGCGAGTAAGGTACTTGCTGCCATCCTGAAGTCACTCACTGCTTCCATGTCCTTGTTCCATTGGTGAAGCACAGAGAAGAGAGAGCCTAACAGTCTGCAACGGTGAAAGCTGAGTGGCAGACTGGCAGTTGGCAAGTACCGCGGGTGAAGTCACTAACATCCCCGACGTTCCATTTTGGTCGTGGTTAGGCTGAGATGCTGCCTGGGCTGTCCATGTCTGCCCGGTCCGCAGCTGGCAATGTGCCCCAACAGCGTTCATGGCCGTTCAGCTCTTTGCACCAGTTCCAGGTTTCCCCCCCAAGCGTCAGCAACGCGCGCCAGTTGTTTACCCTGCCTGCTGAACATCAAGTACCTTCTGGCGTGGAGATGGTGCTTGCGAGTACTTGCCAGTGATCACTTGGAACTGGCAGTAGGGACGGGTGTGCTTGGTGTTCGTCCTATCAAACACGCGGCTCGCACTACGCAACACACCTCCCGCCGCCACCCAGAAATGCGGCGGTTGGGAATACGCCAGCCAATGATACCCTGCCAAAGAAAAGATCCAGCCTAAGAACATCACCAACTTAACGTGATGGTATAAATATGAAAGCCCCCCCTCCGCAATTCACCCCTCTTCCCTCTTGTTCTCCCCCTCCCCCCCCCCCCCCTCAACCACAACCAAAAAAGGGTCGCAAAGTTGCAAGTTGGGAATACCTCCTTGGGCCGTTCGTTACTGAATTCCCTTTCCATAGGAGGCATCTCTCACCCCGGACCCCTAGTCAATCTTTTTGTGTGTCACTCGTCCCTCACTTCTCTCACTCTCTTCTCTCTCTCGCTCTATCCCCCCCTCCCCCCTCCAATCCGAACACCCCTCCAACTTCGTCATTCCTCCTTCTCCTCTATTCGCTCATTTCGTCGCTCTCTACAAGTCTTCTCATCCCATAGACAAAGACATATAAGGTCCCTGGGCAACGCGCTCTCCATCGTCTCAGCTTCCCTAGTCTTTACTCTATCGTTCCCCATTCGAGTTGTCATTCCTTAATCAGAACAACAACATCGGCAACATCATCAGCATCAGCAACAACAACGACTTCTTCGGGCCTACAACGCCCGCTCTCTCTTAGCAAATCACAACCGTCATGTCGCTGTTCAAGCGTACCTTCAGGTCGCAAGACCCCAACGTCCGTGTCGACAAGACGTCCAGGCTGAAGAAGTCAAGCTCGATCCGGGATCACCAGAAGCTATCGAAAATGCAGCAGTCCGTCAACGAGAAGCCCGCCATGGCCCCACCAGCCGCCCCCGCGCCGCTGCCGACCAAGACGGGCAAGTCCGTGGCCCCTTCACCCATCGTCACCTTGACCGTGGGACGCGAGGGTCGACTGTTTGCTGCTCACGAGGACGTCCTCTTCCAGTCGCCCTTCTTCGAGGCCGCCTGTCGAGGCCAGTTCTTCGAGTCGCAGAGCAAGAGAATATCCCTCCCCGACGAAGAACCCGAGATCTTCTCCTCCGTCCTCGAGTACCTCTACAAGGGTGACTACTACCCCCGCCTCGTCCACAACAGGCACCGCAACTCTTGGGAGCTCGAGGACGCCGTCAGAGGAACTCCCCAAACTTCCCCCAACCCCGAAAACACCCCCCGAGGCGGCCGCGCAGCCGCCGTTCCCTCCACTCCCACATCGACAACCACCGGTACCACCGCGAGTGAGGCAACAATCTTTGTCTCGGGCTGCGGGCAACACATCCTCCGCGACACCGTCATCTACTGCGCTGCGGAGCGGTACGGGCTCGAGGAGCTCAAGCGCCTGGCTCTGCGCAAGCAGGGTCTCCAGTCCGGTATTGATATCGGCACCATCCTGCGCTCCGCCCAGTACGCCTACGCCCACACCCCCGACTCGGACTCCCGGCTGCGCGCTCACTACCTCGCTCTGATCATCAGATGTCGCAAGACATTCAAGAGGAGTGGAACCATGCAAGCCGAGATGGAGCGCGGCGGTAGCAAGCTCTTCTTTGACCTGTTCGTGGCCATGTGCAACCACCTCGACGACGTTATCGACCACAGCAACGCGCGAACACCCAAGACCGTCTGAGAGGTTTCGGTTGACTTTTTTGGTCTTGTTGGTTGAGTTGACTCTCGACCAGACACAGCCAGAAAACACATATACAAAAGCGATCATGGTACTGTCACGGCGTTTAACACGGTTATTTTTCTTGTCATTTTGGTCCTTTGCCTTCCGGATTTGCATCACAAGGATAGGAGGTTGTCTGAGAACCGCGATCCCACGGAGGTCTGCTTTTCATGCCGGCACGTCACTTTCTCCCCTCTCTCCCACACCAGATTGGAAACTTCACCATTTGGGAGCTGTCTTTTCTTTCTGAAAACCCATCTCCACTTCTCATCGAGGTTGGCCGAATAAACCTTTCTGGTGGATTACCGGAGTCGAGGAGGACTAATACCCCCCCGCAAACGAGATTCACTCCTCCCGCTCTTCTTGCTTTCAACTCTCTCTTCCGCATCTTCTGGAACAAAGATTCCCCCAAATACAGGATATACCGGGCCCGGGCGGTTTCTCTCTCTCCCCATTTTACCAATCACTGGCGTCTACCCCCTTCTGAGCTCTAGTACTCTACTCCACGTTCACTCGTAGGTGGTAAGGGAACGGCTCAAACGGCTCATCAGAGAGCGAAAAAAGGAGGAAGTCGAAACGGAGAAGAGACTTGTTACCTTTTGATTTTACACAAAAACACAAAACAACGACAAAAAAAAAAGACACCAACCCCAGCACCAAGTTTGTTCGACTCTTCAACTACTCTGCTTACTTGGGAACGACAATTTACGGGGGACGGCGCAACTCCAACAACAACTCTCATCTCTCCATCGGGAACAACGGATTTTGGGCGTTTACGGTATTAGACATACCGGGGCACATGAGTTTGGTGCCAGCTACCATAACAGATTGTGTTTTTTGTCTTCTTTCCATCATTTTCTGAGATTACGGATGTCTTGAGGATACGTACGGGATGTGCCCGCCTCCGACTCCAGGGCAGGCCGAGGAAAAGATCATGTACAATCTCTCAATAGCGCAACAAGGAGCAGACTTTTGCGCTCTTTCTCTTCTGGCCTTGCCAAATCAACAACTCAACAACAACCAAAAAAACGGAAAATCTCCCAAGCAAACAAAGCATGTCAAGACTGAACGACTCAACACACCACATGCTTTCGGATCTCATTTGTCTCTGGGAATTTTAGGAGGATGCAACTCTTGTTTTTTCACGCGGTTTTCTGCATTGGTTCCTGCTTTTGCGATATAGCCTAGGCGGATTGGGGATATCGTCCCTAGTGGATTGGTTCTCTTGGACCTGGCTTGAGCCCTCGTCAGGGCGTGGTAATGAGAAATTTCGGCCACCTCATGAATTGTTCCTCTTGATCTATGTGACTGTTTGCATGTTTCCAAGTGACTATGTGCCCTGTGCGATTGGCTCTCTTGATATATACCCCCGCGTGTAAAGTGACTGACGAGCCTATACCCAGTTAAAACTTCAAGCACCTCGTAACCCATAAGATCCAAGCGTTTCTATCAAATTGCAGTTGACCAGTCACTAATGCCATGATTCCTCTGACGATCCGCACACTTTCCAGAAGTTTCGATCATAGGTTCAAGTTGCCTCAACGAACGTCAGGCGACCAGAGACAACATGAGAAAAAGCAGTCATACAGTGGCCATCAGCCCATTTACTTGCTTTTCCAAGAGAGACAAGAACCTCAAACGAGCGCCGATCCCCATTCGACAATGTGGCGAGACATAAAACACGACTGCAACTATCTGCATAATCAAGGAGTATTCGCGCGTAAGCACACTTTTGATTTAACATTACGATCGTTTCTCAGCTCTTTCGCCGTGTCAATATTGTTGTTGTTGTTTTTGTTGTTTTGTCTCGCCACGAGGCACAGACATCTGCGCTCGTTCGTGGTGGTAAGTACCACTCGCTACCCAAGCGACCCGAGTAACGTGCGACGTCGCCGGCGTGATGTTGCACGTTCGTCTCCTCTGGCGCGGCGGTGCCTGGGAGCTGTGGTACAGATGTAACCTGCCTTTTGGTTATCGAGGCGCCGACTCGGGTCTGTGGCCTGTGTGATGGATATGAACCCCCAAAGTTCGGCACTTGAGTGAGGCTGTTCCGACTACCACGTTTCTGTTTCTTTGGAACATTTTAGACAAGTCTGTTTGCAGATGTCGCGTAGAGATGGGAGAATGTCACTACAGATGTTGTAGGAAGTATTCAAGTCATTAGCAAGATGGAGCCCGTCCTCTGCAGATCCCGATTTCCCTTTTGCGCAATCTTCTCTCATACACTAGGTCCCCGAGTCCCTTCCAAACTATAAACATTGGCCGATGAGACAATTTGCGGGTGGGAAACGACGTCAGGCGCGAAACTAGTCAATCTGCACGACACAATGAGACCGCGGGACTCGGGCGGCGACTACGTTAGGCTTTGGGGCCTTGCCAGCGTGCCATCGGTGCAGCAAAGTGTGATGTGACGCAGACTGACTAAATGAGAGACAGGTTAATCAGGGACGGGCGGGCGCTGCACCAGAACCGAGACTCGGAGGGAGATCGTGTGTAACCCCTCGCATGTTGGGTAGGCACGGCAGGGTCCGGTGAGGCGTGGGATATATAGTTGCTTTCGCCCGTCTGGATGTTGTGGTGTTGGGCTTGACTTGGAGTTTACCTGAATGTTCATTCTTCATTACCCATTTCGAACCCTTCGAGAACGACCTGTGTTGCCCCGGCGCTCGTTCGACCCAACGACATTTAATCGAATCCAGCTTTAGTAGCGTATTGACCGGATTCGCCACTGAGAGAGCCACTTTGGCAGCAGTGGTAAAACACGAGGGGTAAGTTTGCCATTTATCTCCTAGTCCTTGGCGTAGGTTTGCTCAGCTCGTCTCAAGTCCGTCAAGACTTTCGGGAGCTGAGCACCCCGGAACGTTTGCCGGGAAAGAAAAGTTTCTCTATTGTTAGCGATTTCAGCGTGGTGTGTCCGACCCCGCGTTCCTCCGCCGCTTTCGTTTTTGTTTGCGTTCTGGTTTTGTCTTCTTAGCTTGAGTAATTGGACGCTGCGAGCTTCGGGTTATTGCAATTCCTCGGATGGAATTCCCGTCCCTTGTTCCCACCGAGTGGACAGGGCCCTTGTTGGTATCCGCACCGGGCCGGAAAAGCGGGGGCTGAAAGACTGCAGTTGGGATTGGTCAATTGCCGGAGCTTTGGGCCAGGGGTAAAATTGAACCCTTTTTTTTGAGTTTTTGCGGCTTGCCCATAACACGTGGTTTACCGTTTAGCAGTTACTCTTTCTTGGTTTGGTTTAGGTATTTGTTTGCAGAGGAAGGAGGGATTGAGTTGACTGGACTGTTTCAAGCTGACAAGTGTGGCAAGTATCAAATTTATGGAAAATCCTTCCTTCCATTGTGACGAAGGACGACGTACCTATCCCGCAAGGCAGGGCAGTTGCGACGGGACTCTGAAGCTATCGTCACTGGTGACCCCCCGTTCCTTCCTCACGAATTTTGGCCCCGGGCGGCCCCTGTCATTTACCCCACTCTTTCGGTCCCGTGCGCCTGGACCGAGATTTGCACCTGGAGGGGTCGACTTCAGACACAGGCAGGAGCCTTCCATCGCACTTCCACTGCAGCAAGATACACCTTCCACTGCATCTCAGCATTGGGCAGCGGGCTTATTCGTACAGGTCTGTGGATGAGCGAATCTTCTTTTCCTTCCGTTCATCTTCCAATTTAATTTACCCATCTCACCCTCGTTGCCCTTGTCATCGTCAGTTCCTTCGAATACGCAGTTGAGAGTGGGTGCAGGCGAGGAGCAAGCCAAAGTTGGACGCCCATCGTCATACGGCACTCATCCCTCCCTCGTCTCGTTTTCATCCAGTCTTATCCAGTACCATTCCCCTGGGTAGCAGCGTTCTTCGACTCTTTCATCCTGCGTACGCAGCATGCCAGGCGGAACATGATTCGCCCTTGCGTCCCTGCTATCTTGTCTGATGTGCAATCGGCATTGCGCAGTCATCCCGGTGGTGACGCCGCACCACGCAAGACGATTTAATGCACACTGCGAAAAGAGAGACGCATTCCCTAGCAGAAGGGGGGGGGGGGGGCTTGGGGGTCAATAATACCATTCTGGAGCTAATAATACGGCCGTTGCGCCATGTTCAGTCACAACCACCACCTTATTCGACAGATCACCCAATATTACCTTCCGGTGAGATGAGGGAGCGCAATCAATAATTCAGGTCATACACTTTTGTCCGACTGTCCGTCATTTTCCCATTGACACATACTTTCTGACTTGCTGCCTTGGCTTGGGCTACCTTACGGAATACGAATACCTACGGATACATCTCGCATTTTCAAGATTGAACGCCCTTTGGGTTTGTCTTTGGGCCGCCGCCGCCGCCGCTTTCCTTTCTTTCACCTGTCAATGCGACGCTGGGCAACTGGATCAATCTGACTGAGCCTGACTTTTGGCTTCCCACGTCTTCCGCGCTTCCATCGCCTTTCCCTTTTCTCTCGGCTTGCTCTCAATTTTTCTGCCTGACCCCCCCTTATCGACTAAATCCTTCCTCCATCCCCGATCTAGCCAAGGGCAGAGAGATCAACGCCCAGAATTAAGAGTCTTGCCTGTCAACCATACATTGTCGTCACTCGGAGCAACCAATTAATCGATCTGGAGTCGGACTGTGTCAATCATTCCGCCCAATTCCAACCCACCCACCACTGCCAATCACACGTCCAACAACACCCACCCACCATCTCTCTTCTCAATCTCATCTGATCGAGCGCAAGGGGCGGACAAAAAGTGAATTTTAACAATTCCAGGGGCATAACCATACTTTTGAGGGCAAGGCCGCAAAGCCGCAATCATAATTAGAAGACAACCCAGAAAACTTCGAGCACGGCCCCCTTCTCTTGATCTCCTCGCCTCGGTCGATCAACGCGAGAATCGAGACAAGACGAGACAATCCGCAAGAAAACCAGAGACGCTATCCCGAACGCGCTCCGCTTCACCCTGTCTGCAGCTGCAGCCACCGCTGCCCGCATCAACGTACTCGTACCAAGACGCCAGATCCATACCTTCTTTGCTTTCCTTCACACTACATGCAGTACGCCGCCAGTACCTGACAGCTACCTCGCTACCGCTGCTGGTCATCCTGCATGAACACAGACGCCGGCCTCGCTGGTTCTGGACACCGGACGCTCCAGAGTCTCCCTGGCTCTACCCACCACTCGCAGTTGGTCGCCCGCGCCTTTCCTCGTGCGTCTGCGGTCCCGTAGCCGTACCAAACCACCATACCTTGCCAGGCACGCCAGGCTTGTCGACCTCACCGACTCCGTGTACCTGCGCCAACGTCTGCTGGTCACGTTCTCGTTCTCGCCGCCAGTGTTCAGTACTAGCGAAAAGACGCGACCCTTTCCGGGCCTTTCTCTACACCCGACCCAGAGTGAGATCCTATCCCTTTCCTCGCCAATCCGCCGACACTCGTGGGCCGTGGTGCAGCCCGGATCCCGATCGACGCACGGTAAGGGGGGCTCGCGGCCGCCCTAGTTCACCGTTTCCATTGTTCCTGCTGGGTCTGTCACAGTCACCGTCGCAGTCGCAGTTGCAGCTGCCACCCGGACCCTCTTCTCATCCCATCTCACCACCCGTTGGGTTGTTTGTACGTACAGAGAGAGTACTCTTGCTGTACGACTCTGCTTCTGGAACGGTACTGCATACTGCACACTGCACACTGCAGCCTTTCTACCTGCTGCCCACCACACGCACGCCGCCCCGACCGCCCGCCCTTCGCAGCAGTCAGTCCAGCAACTGTTCCGTGCCCTCTCCTGGATCCTGAGGCCGGTTCCGTGTCGTCCTGCGCTCGCGTGGTCTGCTGGTCTGGTTCGGGCACTTTGGTTTGGTCTGGCGTGGTCCGTCGACTACCCGTAACCTCTTTCTTTCTCCCTGCGTCGCCATGGACGACTACGATCCAAACTCAATCCCCCCTATCCCCCAGCGCTACCGGAATCTTCAAACCCCTGAACCTCAACCGCGGAACCGCTCTCTTCCACCACCTCCTCCGTCGCGCCACGCCGATGCTGTTCCCAGCTCTCCCGAGGTCATCTCTTCTCTCATCACCAGCTTTGCCGTCATAACCAAGCCCGCCGATCAACACTTTGAGCGCAGCACCCCGAGCCTATCAGTTCCCGCAACCCCTCGCCAAGGCAGCTTTGGAGTCGACTACGGCGCCTTTCACCAGCCCTCCCTCGAACAACTCCGGAAAGAAGACCTGCCACTCGACGAGATCGCCGCATCCGCCCCCGTTATTCGAACCGCCAAACCACCCTCCGGATTCTCGCCCTTGACCGCCCCCAAGTCCTCACCCGCCCGCGACGGATCCGGTGGCCTCAAGTCCCTCCTGCGAAGTTCTTCGAGACCCTCTTCCAAAGGCTCACTTGGGTCACGGGATGATGCGCAGAGCATAGGCAATCTTTCTGTAGAACGTGGCTCTGCGCCCACCCCAGAGCTCAAGAGACAGCGCTCATTTGACAGTTGGGGTAAGAAGCAGGGCAGAAGTCACAGGGGATTGATGTACATGAGTTCCAAGGAGCGACTACGAGAAAAGGAAGAGAAGAAGCGCGCGAGTATTGGCGACCGCAGTTCCAGCAGCTTCACCGGAGCCTCCCTACGACCCGATCCCTTCCTAGCCGAGACGCCCATCAGCGAAGAATCTACCTACACACCAGACTCTCCCACCCGTGGAAGCGCCCGCAAACACCACGAAATGGCGAGCCCAGGCCCCGAAACCACCACCAGCCCTAGAACGATACCCGCGCGAGACTCGTCTCTCTTCAAGACGGGAGCGAATGCAAAGAGATCCTCTACGAGATCCTCTAGATCAAAGAGAGAAAGCGCCAATAGCACCAACGAAATAATATTTGAAGGAGAGGAACAGACCTCTTCAAGGGAGGCACCGAGGCGGAAACACTTGTCTCGCCACGCTTCCGAAAACGACCTCGCTAGAGCATCGGCCGACGCATCCGGAAGGTCTTTCAGCCGCCCATTCTTCGAATCCAGGCATACCGAGAACTTTCTATCAACGAGACCGTTATTTGAAGAAGAGGACGTGGAGGATAGTGCACCGTTCCCCGCTGTCGCTCAAGGTCGTCGTCGGGATGAGCAGATCGCCGACCGGAATAGTAGGCGCAAATCAACACGCGAGGCCCCAGACGCAGGTGAAGCCATTAAGATGAAGCGCAGTAGCTCCAGGCTTAAGCGGCTATCTCAGCCGCTGAGTCCCAAGGGAGATGAGTCGCAGGCGAGCTCACGCAACTCGGCAGCCTCGCCCGATCCACGCAACAGCATGCCAGCAGGGTATGAGCGTCCCCGCAGTGCAGACTCGATTGACGACGCCGTCGAGTCGTATCTGTGTTCTCCTCGCCTGTCACAAAAGATCCGACACCCGCAGACCGGGCGTGTGATTTCCTTCTCCGAGGTGGGAGATGCAGATGGCTCGGCTGTGTTTTGCTGTGTGGGGATGGGATTGACGAGATATATCACGGCCTTTTACGACGAGCTCGCGTTGACGCTGAAGCTTCGCCTCATTACACCCGACAGACCTGGCGTGGGCGATAGCGAGTCGTACGCCGATGGAACCGCGACGCCGCTCAGCTGGCCCGATGACGTTTATGCCATTTGTCAGGCGCTGAAGATTACCAAATTTTCGATTCTCGCCCACTCTGCCGGCGCCATTTATGCGCTGGCTACTGCTCTCCGAATGCCCCAACACATTCGGGGCAAGATCCATTTGCTCGCGCCCTGGATCCCGCCGTCACAGATGAACGTTTTTGGCACGTCGCAGGCGTTACCACCAACCAACGCGATTCCTACTTCGCAGCGCATCCTGCGAGCGCTCCCGACGACTTTCTTGAAGGCTGCCAACAGCTCGTTCATGTCTGCGACGAGTAGCTCCATCACCAGCTCGCTGCCCAAGAACCCTAGACGCAGCAAGCGTAAATCCACCGCGACCACTGGCCGGGACACCCCGGCGACGCATGGGAGCAAGCGGGACACGACACCCCACCTCGACAAGGAAAACCTTGGCTTGAATTTTGATCGCAACAGCACGGGTGACGACCTGTCTGGCAGACCCACGCTGCCCGCCACAGAGACCATGGATAGAATCAGGCCAACCGGCACGGCATCAGCGCAAGGGCACTACGATGCCGATGCACAGGTCATTGCTGCTGCGTCGGATGCGTTGATGGATAAAGAACGTCAGACAATCTACGACACGAGATTGACGCACGCCATTTGGGAGCTGGCCACAACAGGAGCTAACCCCGCCGTCGACCTACTGGTCTGCCTGGAACGCAGGCATACGATTGGTTTCCGGTACGTTGATATCACACGGCCTGTCGTTATACACCACGGCAGCCGTGACACCCGTGTGCCGGTTGATAATGTCAAATGGCTTGGCAAGACGATGAAGCGCTGCGAGGTGCGCGTTCTCGAAGGCGAAGGCCACGGCTTGATGGCGAGCGCTGGTGTCATGGGCGCGGTGCTCATGGAGATTAGCAAAGAGTGGGACGACTGGCTGCGAGCCACTTCCAAAAAGGACGACCGCGGCCGGAGAACTGGTACGCGGTAAGGGGACCTCGATGTTGAGGTCAGGGATTCCCCCATTTTACGGTCACATTTTTCTTATATCTTTCTTTCTTTCTTTCTTTCTTTCTTTCTTTCTTTCTACCTTGGACACTTGAATGACCTTGAACCATTGATGATTTGACCTACACCTCTGATTTATATCCAATACCTACGTAGGGGGGAGTTTTGTAATTATTTCCAGGCGGCCCATGTACGATGCGTGGTTGGATACCTTTTTGTGTGGCATTGGCGTCGAGCGCGTCTGCAGGCTTAGGGCGGGCTGGTTGGTTGATTGGGAGTCCTGGGGACGAGCTTCGAAGGGGTTCCGAAGCCGTAAGGGAAAAGACACCAGGGCCGGCAGGATTATTTAATGAAGCGGCCATTGTTGAAGAGCATCGCTCCATAGCATATAGCAGTAGTACAGCATCGGCTTGTTTTACCGCACAGCAGCTGCGGACAAACACCGAGTAATGTGTTAATACGATCTCCTTTGTGGAAAATGCTGTCTTTTGGCAATGTTTGACGACTTTCTTGTGGCTCTTTTCCTTTTATGAGTGCTAGACTGACTACCTTGTTGCCTTGAAGTCGTCAAGGTTTCATTGCCTCTGGAGAACCCTCACAAACCATCCTGTGTCATTACTTCTTTGGATCTCACAATGACTGCATACATAATTGAACATGTAGTAAAGGCATCTCAGATGATAGCTCACCTGCTACGGCCCACTAGCATGGGATGAAAAAAAAAGTCTCTCAGACACATGCGTACAGCAGTCAATCTTTCAGGAGGGACGGAAACTTGGTGAAAAACATAGTCTGTGGCCATATACGTGGAATACCATATCCCACCTTTGTCTTGTCCCTCCCCTACCCTTTCAGTCGTCTAGGTTTCATTTGAAGTATATAGATAGATGAGCGGGAAGTTGACAAAGTAAGGTAATGAGAATCAAATACATAAGACAACCCTCTCATAGCATAGCAACTTCCATGTAAGTTGCACAACAGTCACAACAATTTCATAATGCCGCTTCCCGCTTGACTGATGTCAATCTTATCTGCGGCTGAGTCCCAGTGCGGATCTCGATCCAAGACATGCGCACGCAAGCCCACCCGCCCCAATATCCACCCGCACATCCACAGAACCTCTTCCAGCCCAACTTAGTCCACAACCAGACCCAGAATTGTCATCAAATCAGGCGAAGTGCCAGAGTGGTTAATGGGTGTGCCTCGAATTAACTCTGTACTTTCAGAGCTTTGTAGCACATGGCTTCGGTCGCGCAAGTTCGAATCTTGTCTTCGTCGATGGACTTTTTTGTTTTTTTGGTTCGGTTTTCGGGGTATTTGTATGGGTTTTTTGCCCTTTTGCGCTTGAGGAAGGACCCACTGGGCCTGCCTACCTAGCTTTATTTCCAGTTCTCATACTCTCTGATTGCTCTGTTTGTGTTGTGCCGTTGCTGGCCGACCTGAGGAAATCAACTTGGCCAACTTCAAGTGAGAGATGTCACCTTTTACAAGGCTAGAGGTATCAGGATAAGAAAATGATGGAGAGATGACATCCTGCTATGCTCTAGACTGATTAGAGTTGTGTTGGACACTTCCTCAATTAGATTTGCTCTTAGACAACACACCCCCTTCTGCCGGCCTGGCCTTGAACTCTTTGCTCCTTGTCCTTCCTATTCCTATCAGCCCCCCTCGTAAAATCCAGGGCAAAAAAAAAAACCCCCCCCGCAGACCAGCGAGGACTAATACTGGAGATAATACTGGAGAGGGCGGGACCTAAGAGAGCGATTACAGCTGAAATTTAATGGACTCTAGAAGATTGTCTATCACTGACCAATTTGTGGGCCGAATAGTCAAGGTAAGTTTTGTGCAGGTCGAGGAGCAAATGAAGGCAGAACGTCGACCCTGCGATATGTATGATCAAGACGGACCGTCTTAAAGCAAGCTTTCGGGCCATGATTCTCCAAGACCAGCTCCGGGCCGGTGCGACGGAGCAAAGTGGGGTCAAGCAGTCCGCGATGAGGTCGGAATGCAGTCCGGGCATGGACGTTTAGGGAAACAGCCTCCTTCCTCTACGGTGTGCTTGACGTTTGATTGATAACCTAGGTTTCAACGTTCGGAGAAACACTCTCAGGTCTCACTCATCTCAAGATACCCTGTTCGATGCAGCTCTGGCGCTAGTTCATGGTGGGACGCAAAAACCGACACACCCATGCGGCGCTACGTCATGGCTGCCAACGTGCGCCTGGATGATGCTGCTGCTGCTTATTTACGACGCGCCCTCCCATCCAACAGCGCAGCTCTAT